CAGCCTCTATTCTTCCTAAAACAGCAAATACTCTGATTAATATTTTCTTATAATCTGATAAATGCATAAGGTCAGGACAGAGGATAAGAGAATATCTTTATGGTATTATTTCATTTCAATCTTTTTGTTCAGAAGACACTTATTTTGCTAAAATTAGAAAAGCTTTGGAAATGTTTGTCCGTGTGGGTATCAGAATATAGGGGAACACAGGAATCAGTGATTATAGTGAACTGATATTAAGATTGGATCATTTTCAACACTTCTCAAGATGTTTTCCCATCCTTAACATGCCAAGAATATGAGTAACTGGGGAACTGTCTTACATGGATGAAGTTAAAGAAAGATACTTCTTACTTCTCAATAACTAAAACTTTGATATTAGTTAAAATAGTAGATTGACTGCCTAATCTACAGTGATAAACACAAGTGTTTGTGAGTACAAATAAGCATAATTGTTCATCAAAAAGAGAGCTTATTGGCTCATTGGCAAAACTTAACCACCCTTCTTGTGCAGCTTTCATCCAAAGGGAACTAGTAGTTTCTCAACCAGAACTCCTGAGGAAGCTCAAAGTACAGGTGCTAGAACACAAGAATAGAGGATACTACACTCATGATTTTTTCCAAGTCTTTCCATTTCTTTATGAATGAAGTGATGTCATTTTTTCTGATGGAAGCATAGAATTCCATTGTGTATATATACAACATTTTCTTGATTCGTTCATCTACTGAGGGGCATCTGTTTCCATATCTTAGCAATTGTAAGTAATTCTCCAGTGAACATAGTTGTGCTGGTAGCTTTAGTGTGGTCTTGTTTGTGATCATTTGGGTAAATGTCCAGGAGTGGGATTGCTGTAACATATGGGAGCTCTATATTTAGTCTTTTGAGTAACCTCCATACTGCTTTCCAGAGTGGTTGTGAAGTAAGCTAGACTCAAAGAAATATAGGCTCCATGGTTTCTCTCATTTGTAATAATTAGTATTTGCCTAGGATAGTCCTAGCAGAGGATCACAATAGCTATGTACATATGACTATGTAAAATGATGGTATTTGAAATGAACTCCAAGATATGGAAACAAAAGGGTTTTTGGTTGTTGTTGTTTCTTTGGGTTTTTGTTGTTGTCATTGCTGTTTAATATACTGTGTGAAGTTACTTACTTTTTCTTTTGATTTTTTTTTCCTTTGGTCTATTCCCTGTTGTCACTGTTTTTTTATTTTGGTACCCTGTGTTTTATATATACGTTTATCTGATTTGGGGAAGAGATAGGGAATAACAAAATGATGAGACAAAGGACAAAGGGTGTACCAATGCAACAGAAATACTCAGAAGAGAGTATATTGGAAATGAACTTTACAACTTGGAGGGAAGGGGAATTGGGGGAAAGGAAAGTGGGAGAAAAGAAGGGAGGGGGTAAAATGTTCAACAAGAAATGTACTCATTACCTTACATATATAACTATAACCTCCCCTGAATCACCCTTACAATAAAATTTAATTTAATAAAAAATAAAAAGGGATATTTAACTGGATTTCTATGTAAGGAGCCTTAAAAACTTAAAATATAATTTGTCTTGTTCACTTTGGAACCCACTTTCCTCAGCACTGAAAACAAAGCTTTATGTGGTACACTTTATACCTTTCGAATGTCTTTGGATTCTGCTTGTTCTGCAGAACCAGAGAGGGATACATAAGAGCATGAAATGATGCTTTGGTCTTCTTCCTCTTAAGACCTATTTTAAAGAATCTTGACGACTATGATAGATGATAAAAGATCTTAAAAAGTTAAAGAGGTTTAAGGTTGAATAAAACCAATATAAAAATTGTTCCATCTAAGCAACTCCATTTGTAATAGCCCCACAAAAAATAAAATACCTAGGAATTAACTTAACCAAAGAAGTGAAGGACCTCTATGATGAAAACTTTAAAATCTTCAAAAAGGAAATCAAAACAGAACTTAAAAAATGGCAAAACCTCCCATGCTCCTGGATTGGAAAGATTAACATCGTGAAAATGGCAATACTTCCCAAGGCTATCTACAAATT